AGAGAGAGGGGTGGGATAATTAAAAAAAAAAACAGAAATAATGCTAGGAAAGAGACTACTTGCGAGGCAAGTAAAAGGAAGTAAAGTAGATAAGTGTATATACATATCTGACGAGTAGCATATGTGTGAATATACAGAGTGTTTGATAATGTTCATGCCAACGCTCGTGTGCGAGTAGAGTGCGGTAAACTGGTCAGAAAAATCCTTTGCCTTTTGCAATTTTCGCAATAATAATTGAGATATTAATTAAAAAACATTGTCGCGAATAACAGCACATTGCGCGCGGCTAGTCGATTATACGATTTGGATGGGTCAGCGGCGGCAACGAAAAATAACAGCATAAGCAGCGATCGGGTGAAAACGGCACATAAAGCTGGATCACGCTCGCTCGCGTGTTATTCCTCTCGCTACGCGCGATCTCGTTCAGATCATACAGTCCAACGTCTAGCCGTGCGCAACGCATTATTCATTAATCTTTTTTAATTGATTTTTTAATTTCTATTATTATTGTGAGAAAACGGTAAAAGATTTTTCTATCAAGTTTACAGCACTCTACCCGTACACGAGCGTTGGCACAAACATTATCAAACACCCTGTGTTTGTAAAAACGTAAAAATATAAAATTATATAGATTGTAAATATTTAGTTTCGATTATAAAGTAGCTTATTACATAGTTCAGAATATTACACAACTTTTAAGCTAATTTTTACAAATTATATGTCAAGAAACCAGGAAACATCTTTAAAAAATAACTTGGAGCAAAAGAGAGGCCAGAACACGCGAAAGATGTCTTGGAATACATGTATGTACAGTACCGGACAAATGAATTCGGACATAGACGTTTTTCTGTTTGTTTGTTGTTATTGTGATGTTATGAAAGTTCCACTCTGTGGATTGTTTACTATTAGTCCGACACTAGCTTGCATAGAAGTTGTACCGAGATATCTGCATATTACAAAATGTAAAGTAAGTTTTATTTATATTTAACCAGATAAAAGTATTCAGATGTCTTATTTATATATGTAATTTATGATCTAAATCTTAAATATTTGTGAAATCTTTATTTTATAGTTTTATTTTATTCTGCCTAGGATGGTACGAAGACAAAGTTTACCAAAATATATAAAAGAATAAATTATAAAAACTTTAAATGATGGGGAATCCATATCTAAAGTATCACGACGCTTTGACATTTCAAAGCAAACTGTATACAGCATTAAAAAACAATTTCAATAACGGGACCATTTAAAGAATTTATCCAAGTCCAGTCGACTAAAAAAAATGACTATTAGGCAAGACAGAAAAATACGACAATCGCCAGTAGCTGATCTGCAAAGAACTGCGGTAGATATTCATAAAAGCATAGTCGAAACTGACAACTTAAATCTAAGTGTACGTACAGTACGACGTCGTTTAACATCTTTTGATTTGTGTGGAAGACATGGAGTGAAAAAAACCAGTAATTTCGAAAAAAATAGGTTAGCCCGACTTAAATTTGCTCGTGAACACCTTCATTGGTCAATAGCCGATTGGTCCAATGTCCTTTTTAGTGACGAAAGCAAGTTTAAATTATTTGGATCTGATGGAATCCAGTGGGTTCGTCGACAAAAAGGTCAAAGATTGGACATTCGGTACCAAATTCCAACGATAAAACATGGAGAAGGAAGCATTACGGTTTGGAGGTGCTTCTCTAGTTAGGGTGTTGGTCCTTTACGGCAAATAAAAGGTATTATGAATAAAGAACTATACATCGATATACTAGAAAAAAATATGTTACCACATATCACGTACCACATACAATGCAAATCATGAACAGTAATTGGACATTTCAACACGACAATGATTCAAAGCACACTTATCATGCACTTTTAGAGTCTATGCCTAAAAGGATGCAGGTAGTTATTAATTCCAAAGAATATTTGGACAAAATATTAAGTGACTTTGTTGTTTTGTATCGTTAAATTATATCAACATTTGTTTATTTTGTAATTTTCTTAATATTTAAGTTTTGTCCGAATGCTTTTGTCACTTACATTTTTGTTTATTATTTCAAAATATATATTTTATCATATCAATATGAAGAGGCTTTCCGAACATCGCTAGTTGTTAATGCAAAATTTTTAATGTTTTGTATAGAAACTTGATTCGTCTGCATTGAGACATTAAAATGTACACTGATTTCAGATTCGAGATACTGAAGTATACGAAAAATGCTTACATCGATCTCATTATTTATATATTTTATGTTAAAATTTGTTAAATTTATTAATGTAATTTATTTATCATCCTGTTCTCTCTATAAACTATGCTATAAACTATAAACTTAATTTAATGTTAATACATTGAATTATTTA